TTTTTTTTTTTTTTTTTTTTTTTTGCGTATTTTTTAAATTGAAAGTAGGGTTGAGTTTCAATTTGAAGGGTCTATATTTTACTTTTAGAAAAGCATATAACTTTAATTTTCCCCTTTATCTTTTTTCTAATTTTACGTGTCAATTTATTAATATTGGTCGGGTACCTAACTCAAACGTGTACTAGCTTCTTCAAACAGCATGAGCTAAATCCTTAACTCTTTAAAATAATTTTTAATTGCTTTAATTTTCGAAAATATATATTGAAAATAAGTCACAAATTTTAATTAAAATTTTAAAAATAAATAAAATAGTATTTTACACCTAACAACGAACCAACTCAATTCAAAACAACTCGAACAATTTGATTGAGTCTTAACAAGACGTCTCAACCTGTCCAACTGAAATCACGACCTCTCCGACTAAAAACTAACTAAAAAACAAATAAATTATAATAATAAATGGAGTGCTAATAAGAGGACTTTTGAAGCTATGCCAATAAATGGAGTTCCATTATGGATTAATTAGAGTGTTTAATTATTGCATAATAATTAATTCCATTACTTAGGGAGTGGCACCCAACTCACCACATGCACTAAAACATATCCAAATAGATACTACGAAAGTTATTTTTAAAGATCAATAATAATAAATGTTTAATATTTGAGTGGTACAAAATTTTAGTTAGTAATATGACATATATTCTAAATAAATATGATTGTTTAAAAAGTTAACCATTCACCACTCAGTCCAATAAAGGATAGTTGTATTGTAAACTCTACTCGAAACATTTAGGTCACCAATCCAACTCAGCTCAATCCGACCCGACTCAACCTAAGAATAGAGGGTTGGATTGTGACATCTACTCGAAACAATTAGGTCACCAACTCGACTCACCCTCAAGTTTTAATATAAGGTTAAATACCAAAATAATTTAAAGCCTATTTTTTATGTGAAATTATTATTTTTATATAAAAAGGAAAATTTAATTTAACCCAAAAAAAAAAAAAAAAATAATACCAAATGGGAATTCAGCTTCAGCCTTTGCCAAAAACGGACGTGGGTCCCACCCACAAATTTTATTATTTAATTAAAAAATAATAATAAAGGACATTTGGGACTCCCCAGTTTATCCGCTTTGCCCCCGAAATGTTCTGAAGGGTCTTCATGTGATTTCGTACCATTTGCTT